GCTTCTTCACTGGGTTACACAAAAATCAACTACACAAGGCTTTTCATTCCTAAACAGATGTGAATTCATTATAATCATCAGATCACTAAGGTTGGAAAAGACCTCTGAGATCACAGAACCCTTAACCCAACACCCCAGACCCACAACTAAACCATGACCCCAGGCACCAGATGTACAAATTTTTTTTATGCAAAAAGTGTTGCATCTATAATTGCTGCTAAAGGAGAGAGTCCTTGCCTCCAGTCATTTCATAGTGGATACCTGTCCACACCCCTTCCAGGACCCAGATCTTTGAGTCCAGCATGATTTTTATTGCAGTTAGGCAATTCAGGTGTCATACACAGTACACCCTTGTTCCCATCCTGGGAAAACTAGTGGCTCCTCTCAGCACAAATCTCCCTGCAGGCAATACCATTCTGCTTATCTGCAAGTTTGCTGTCCCTATGGAAGGATATCCTTCTGGGACACCTTTCCCTCATTGCTGTCCTCTGGAGAGGGGAGGCTCATATTTATTTCAGCAAATCCTTGGTACTCATCACCAGAATAGCTCTCAATCCTTCCATTATTTTTCTAGCTGCTTTTGTTTCACTGCTCTTTTGCATAGGTTTGGTAAAAGCCGTCAGAATCCCTCATCCTTTTGTGTCCTGCTGATACTGAAGCATCTTCATCTATCTCAATATAAATTGTTCCCAGTAAATTGAAAAGAGAGCAGCTGCAATAAGATGCAGATTAAATAAAGAAGTCAGAGATTCCTGCACAGGTATAAAATGTAAGTAATCCACCTCACCATACAGCACACACATACACACACAAGTTACCAATGTCAGCACAGCATAAAACACAGAGCAGCACATGGGGAAACTTTATTTGGTGGTAAAACTTCCCCTCTTCTTCATCCTGGGACCAGGAACCGGGGGCAGACAGGAGCTTATATGTGGGGCAGGTCTCAGGGGAGGGTACAGTCTTTAACAAATCAGGAGAATTGGGAGTAAAAAACCAGGCAGGGAATACAATGTAAAAACCCATAAAAATCCCAAGGGAGGAGAACAGTTTCAGTAAACTAACAGAGTTTGGAGAAATAGAAACTGGCATCTAACAACAGGAAAAGTGACGAAAGTTCTGGAAAAAAGCAGGAACAAAAAGGAAAATAGCATAAGGAAACTACCAAATTACAAATCAAACAATAAACCTACTAATAAAACAAAAAACACACCACAACATGCCAGCATACAGAGGATATAAACTGAATTTTCTGTTAGGAGAAGGTTGAAGGCATTGATCAGACACAAACTTATTATTTGATATCTGTATAATATGTTTGCAACAACTCAGCTCCCAAGCAGTGTAAGTTTGGGGGGATTTATAGAGGAAGCAGAGATGACACAATCACTATATTCAGGCTTTGGGTACAATAATCAGGAGCTGGAGCACCTTGTTAAATGATATTTTGAGCTGGTATTTGGCCTGCATGCAAACTAGAGAGTCACAGTAGCTCCTGCACAGTACAGGAACTGTCTAAGGTTCAGAGGTTCACACACAAAAAAGCAGCATATTCCACACATGAGTAGATTTTTATGGAAATAAAACATAATTATGGGAAAGGAGATAGTGATTCATTAATGACTTAAGCCCAAGTAGAACCCTGTCTGCTAGTTAAGCTGGAATAAAAAATGACTACTATTTTTATATGTTTTCCTCTATTCATACACCCGATTTCTTCAGACTAAACAGTTAATTCAGTACCTGTGTTTAATTTAAGCCATGGCTTCCTACATGAACATTCTTAGATTTTTCTATTACAGTTCTGAATACTTTTAGATCACTTTGGGCATCTAAGCAGCAGCACTAATTACTTTAAATAAATGTAATCAGACATTAATATTGCTTAATATCCCCATCCTCTATTCAACTTAGGTGTGCAGTCCTAAGTCAGTCATCTTAATTAACCTTGGGCTGAAGCACAGGTAGAGTCACTCTGATCCATGGGATGGGTGCAGCAGTGGGGAACTTGTCTCTTTGTGTGCCCAGAGATAGCAGCAGGACTGGAGAGGTCCTGGAGCTCCAGTCTGGGGTGTTTAGAGAGTAATCAAAGATTTCAGCTCAGACTCACATGTCTGATGACAGCTGTGACCTCTGCAGGGCAGTGCCACAACTCTGCAGCTCCCTCCCCTCAAGTTCCAGGCTGTTGTGACACAGCAGAGAATGCAAGGTTTCCTGGCAGAAACAGGAAATAACATTACAAAACAACCCCTCCTAGCAGCCCTTTTCCACTGCAGCTTTTCTGGGTCAATCCCACTTGCATCATAAATTGTTTTGCTGTCAACTTGAAGATAATGGGTTGATGTGTTTGGTTTGCTGTTTTATTGAACTTACCATTGTCTAGGTTTTTTATTTATTTTAAAAACTTGCTAAAGAGTTGGTTTTTACCAGTTCCAGGAATATTTCTGGCCAGAATGTTTGGGTTTTTGTTTTTTTTTTTTTTAAGTAATACTAGATACTATTGAAGCAACAGATTCTCCATGCAGTATTTCCCTGCCTTGATTCTACCGCTCTACAGTTTCATTAATTCAGTTTTTAAAATAACACCAATAACACAACAGGGGGATTAATCAAGGGAACCAGGCTCTCTCAATTAACCTAAACTTTTATTTTAGGCCTATGTATAAAAGGGATTTTTTGTCTTACAAAAGCTGAAGTGAGCTGCTATGGTATTTCTCTTCAGAGAAAGCACAACTAGTTGTGAGATGGCTTGGTTTTAATTACATTACACTTATTCTATTCCATTTCAGAGCATTAGCACTATTGTTTAGTATAGTCTGTGAACTTCTCTAAGCTTCAAAGTCCACAGTGGAAGTAGGAATTGACTGGGAGGGCAAACAGAGCCAAAAGACTTTTTTAGACCACTCTGTCTATTTATTTTTCAAATCCCACAAAGCTTCACTATTTTAGGGGCCTTCCATCTGACCTTCTTTGGGGTGGCACACAGAGTTTGTTACTCAAATAAAAGACTACTGACACAATTTCATATGGGCATCTGCAGTTCCATCTATTTTGGGTGCTGTTCCCTGATCATTACTTTCCTGTGGCTGGGAAGCATTCCACCATCATCCCCCTCCTCTAAGATTTTCATGCAGTATGTCCTAAGAGGAGTTGCTGATTCGATTGTCTGTCTCAGGTGTTAAAAAAAAAATAAGTCCCCAGCAAATTTAAGGTATTAGTAGCACATAGTCCCATAGAATTTGTATGCAAGGCAGCTTTAAGCTCCTCTTGCAGCACCATGTCAATGATGGCTGTTAGAGTTCACCTGTAGCTGCAGCACCTGTGCTGCACAGACACACTGGCACTAAGAATTTAAAAAGTTTCAACTGAAAATTGAGTTTGGTTTTTGTTTTTAGTAAGAGTTAACATTTGTACGTGACAACACCTGAACTACTAGAGCAGGCAACAGCTGCAAAACACAACCAAAAAAGTTTTGCTGTGCAAGGAGCAAGCTAAGAATTCCCCAGAAAGTTTATCTAATTTTGTGGAAAACGTGACATGAAATATAGGCTAACCCAACCAAATTTTTACACCTACATACGCTCAAACTTTAAAGGCAAAAAAACCTGAGTTGTATAAAACACATAAAGAAAATACCAAGATCACCCTTGTCCTAGGGCTACATTATTCAGAAGATATTTTCTGCCTTTCTCCCCTCCAAGGAATATCCTCTCAAAGTGTTAAACCCAATGTAAATGTGAGGTTCCAATCCAGCCACAATTCTTTGTAGCTGCCAGTAGAGTAACCAAAAAATTGCAATCAGGAGCAAAGGCTCACACTACAAAACCCTGCATCCAACTAGCCACAGCCACAAAAAAGCTTTTTATAGCCCAGGTGGGTTGTTTTCAGCTCCACCCACCAGGCAAAGCACCTGTGTTCCTGCCCCAGGGCCCCAGTCTTCCCCAGTCTGGGTTTGGAGGCTTTGTCACACGTGGTTTAGGCATCAGAAGAATGCCTTTGAGGCTTAAAGGCTATTAAAACTTTTAGCAACATGTAAAAAGAAAAAAATAGAGCCAAAAACATTTCACAAGAAGACTGCAAAATTTCCAGCTGCTACACAAAACTACAGAACAATTCTGACAAAGTCAACGTTGCAGACACAAATCTAAATATGTCCTTTGTGTATCTTGTAATTGCACTCCACTCGTTTACAGAAAGGTTTTCAGTAGCCAAGGAGATGTCCAGGTTGGTCTTGTCTGTAAACTGCAGATGAGATGCAATGTGACCCTCAGCTGCAGTTCTCTGACACACAGTAATATGCAGTTACATCACATTATTTTCCAGTTAGAAAATGCAGGAAGTAACTCAGTTTATCTACAGCCAGTGTTTCCTCCTTGTTCCAAGCTGTTGAATGCCCAGGGAAGGAACTTATCCTTTCTCACTACCAGAGTGTGACTTCTCCAACAAAATTTATTTTTAATAATTAAAACTTTATCTAAAGAAAGATTGAGCAGAACAGAAATAGGTAGAACCTCAAGAGAGCAGTCTGTTCTCCAGTATCACAGTGTCTGTTTCTCTTACAACATTTCTGTGGGTTTTAATTAATTTTCTAAATATTTTAAGTGGTTTTTTTTGAAAGTTGAATAGAATGGAAGCGTTTCAGTCCAAGGACACATGGAATATGTGCAAAGTTAACATAAGGACTAGTGATTGGCTTTCCTGTTGCCCAGTAAATATTCTGTAATAGCAAAAGAGCTGTTTATTACTGAACCTGGGATTATGTCTGAGAGGAAAAGAACTAACCCACCTTCTTTCCTGATACAAAATTATATGAAATCATATGTTTTGGTCTTGTAGTATGAAGTTTTAAATTTCAAGTGCAAGACGAATTTGCCTGTTTTCAGTTTCAAAGTGTGTGTACAGACAATCGGATGAGTTTAATCACCTGGCCATCTGCCTGGCATGTACTGCTCTAGTCTTTCCAGACTTCCATTAAACTTGCATTTTCTTATATTTTGCAGTACCCTCCTTTTGGGGTTTGGTGAACTCAGCTTGGAATCTTTGCTCAGTCGGGAAAAGACAGTCACCTGTCAATATTGAAACCAGCCATATGATTTTTGATCCCTTCCTAACACCTCTTCGCCTGAACACAGGGGGAAGAAAGGTAGGTCGTCTCTGTTCTGGTGTATAAAATAAATTGAGTTAGTAGATTAAAAAAAATTGCTATATTTTATTTTTCTAAAGCATTTACTTTTATCTGTCTGCTCCAAGGCAGAATAACAATGTAGCATGTTTTAAAGATTGTCCTCAAATCACTGAACTAATCAATTCTGTTTATCCAGCTGAAGGATTGATATTTCAATTCTGAAATTATTTTATACATAATTATTTACATATTACCTTATTTTGTACCTAATAACCTCTTAGCAGTCTTGGCAATACTTGTTAGTTTATAATGGTTTTGTGTTGCTTTTCTTATGCTGGGGTGCCTAAAAGGGTATTTTAAAGTATTTATTGCTTGTTCCATGCAGTCAGTTGTCTCTTACCCAACCTGTGTTACAGACCAATGTAACACAGGTTGGGTAAGACCATGCAGGTGAAAAGGCACTGTGAATTACAGTATCAGAGCAAGCTGAGACTCCAACAAAAGGTTATTTGAAAAATATTTCTCTTCCCTTGTTGTCATGACAAATGAGATGTTCACTGGAAACAGTGTGACATTCAGAACAACATTTCTGTGGGTTTTAATTAATTTTCTAAATATTTTAAGTGTTTTTTTGAAAGTTGAATAGAATGGAAGCGTTTCAGTCCAAGGACACATGGAATATGTGCAAAGTTAACATAAGGACTAGTGATTGGCTTTCCTGTTGCCCAGTAAATATTCTGTAATAGCAAAAGAGCTGTTTATTACTGAACCTGGGATTATGTCTGAGAGGAAAAGAACTAACCCACCTTCTTTCCTGATACAAAATTATATGAAATCATATGTTTTGGTCTTGTAGTATGAAGTTTTAAATTTCAAGTGCAAGACGAATTTGCCTGTTTTCAGTTTCAAAGTGTGTGTACAGACAATCGGATGAGTTTAATCACCTGGCCATCTGCCTGGCATGTACTGCTCTAGTCTTTCCAGACTTCCATTAAACTTGCATTTTCTTATATTTTGCAGTACCCTCCTTTTGGGGTTTGGTGAACTCAGCTTGGAATCTTTGCTCAGTCGGGAAAAGACAGTCACCTGTCAATATTGAAACCAGCCATATGATTTTTGATCCCTTCCTAACACCTCTTCGCCTGAACACAGGGGGAAGAAAGGTAGGTGGTCTCTGTTCTGGTGTATAAAATAAATTGAGTTAGTAGATTAAAAAAAAAATTGCTATATTTTATTTTTCTAAAGCATTTACTTTTATCTGTCTGCTCCAAGGCAGAATAACAATGTAGCATGTTTTAAAGATTGTCCTCAAATCACTGAACTAATCAATTCTGTTTATCCAGCTGAAGGATTGATATTTCAATTCTGAAATTATTTTATACATAATTATTTACATATTACCTTGCTTTATACCTAATAACCTCTTAGCAGTTATAGCCTCTTGGCAATACTTGTTAGTTTATAATGGTTTTGTGTTGCTTTTCTTATGCTGGGGTGCCTAAAAGGGTATTTTAAAGTATTTATTGCTTGTTCCATGCAGTCAGTTGTCTCTTACCCAACCTGTGTTACAGACCAATGTAACACAGGTTGGGTAAGACCATGCAGGTGAAAAGGCACTGTGAATTACAATATCAGAGCAAGCTGAGACTCCAACAAAAGGTTATTTGAAAAATATTTCTCTTCCCTTGTTGTCATGACAAATGAGATGTTCACTGGAAACAGTGTGACATTCAGAACCTTTTTGTGTTGCTTTTCTTATGCTGGGGTGCCTAAAAGGGTATTTTAAAGTATTTATTGCTTGTTCCATGCAGTCAGTTGTCTCTTACCCAACCTGTGTTACAGACCAATGTAACACAGGTTGGGTAAGACCATGCAGGTGAAAAGGCACTGTGAATTACAATATCAGAGCAAGCTGAGACTCCAACAAAAGGTTATTTGAAAAATATTTCTCTTCCCTTGTTGTCATGACAAATGAGATGTTCACTGGAAACAGTGTGACATTCTAGGAATTTGCTCTGTACTTCCCATGGAGGTTCTGGTGGCACATGTGCAAATGCATCAGAATTTATGTGGGCTTTATCACAGAAATGTGAAATGGTGGTGTTGTTATTACTGGAGGACAGTAATGCTTCCAGCTCTGGCCCAAATTTCAGGATAATATTTACATTTTTCTTTTTAAATGGAAATGTGTGGAGGTTTTTTGTTTTGATTTTAAAAACCCCAAAAAAACAAAACTCAGAGTTTTGATGACACTGCTATGTACATAAAAGCTTACACATTTCATGCTATTTGTAAATTACAGAATGGCAAAACATGAAATTCAAGAATGTGGAAGTTGTCAGTGAGCCGAATGCAGGAGGTTCAGAATATTCAATGTCTTCAGCAGTTCTAAGAATTCAGCTGGGTTTTTGTACCTGCTCAGAGTGAAGCAAATGTCTGATTATTGATAAAATTTGGAGGCAAAAACAAACAGACTGGGAGGTGCTGTATCAGTGATGAGGTTCTTACCATGCTCACAAATACTGCCACTAATGATCTTCTATCATGTTACAAGAACAGGATTTGTTCTTCTTGTGATTTGTCTTAGAGAGACTTCCAAAATGGTTAAATCAAAATTCCCCTCTGAGAAAAAAAGATTGCCATTTTGATGCCTTAATAAAAATTCTTTGTTCATTCTTTGCGTCACTGAGGATTTGATTTGGCAGGTAGTGGATTTGTGTTCACTTCCTCAGTAATGTTTTTTGTATGTAAAAAATAGAGGTGTGTTTCATATGGGCTGAAGCACTTCATCTCTGAGCGCTCAGAACCAATTGCTGTTGCAGCCAGGGAGTTTCTTGGACAAGGCTTATCTGTGATTATGCTGTATATGAAAGGGTTTTATGGAACTGATCCGAAGAAAAATAATGAATAAATAAAAAAGGGATTTGATGTGGTTTCAAATCAAAGTTATGATAAGCTAGCTTGCATGCACAGTGAACAAGAGAGACAGCTACTTGCACACAGTCACAATTATAAACCTCTTTTGGAAAAGGGGCTGGGAGGAGACTCAAGCTCTAAGAGAGAGCAAGATGGAAGGAAGTACTCAGTTCAGTTGTTCTTGGAACAGTAACTTCAAATTCTTAACAATTTTTTTTTTGCTATTAATTTAGAAATTCAGTTTTATCAGGTTTAAAAAAATACTTAATTTTGAAAGCAACATATCTACTTTGTGTGCTTCACTTTGGAAATTCGCTTATGAGGAACAGAAGTGACTCACCCACAGGAACAGTCTATGATCACTGACTTAATACCTCCTCTTACCCCTTTCACTCCTTGCCACTAGGAACAGAAGTGACTCACCCACAGGAACAGTCTATGATCACTGACTTAATACTACCTCTTACCCCTTTCACTCCTTGCCACTCCTTTCCCTTGGGCTTTATTTTTAGTGGGGAGCATTGCTTAATTTCTGTAAACCAGTTACCTGTTTAGTTCTCCTTTCTCACCTTGGCAGACCAAAACTGTTCCATTCCACTACAGAATTTGTGTCTAAAATTTCCACTTAAGCACATCCCTTTCTATTTCCTTTAGATTATTTTATTTCAGTGTTAGCAGTGAAAGCCTTTTAGTAAACCAGATTGAGACTTTCCTACTATTTTTTAGACTGCTTAGAAATAAAGCAATATTTTTCTTTCTCCTTAAGAGAAGAAATGATCTGATAGGAGGGTATGAAGGACAGCATCACTGTTTTCCTGCAAGGGGAGAAAAGCCCAGTCTGTGACCCATCACACAGCAGGCAACTTAATGGTTACTTCTGGTCTGAGGCTAAGAAAATTCTTACCATTCCATTCAGGAGTAAAAGGGATGGCAGTGCTATTTACCAAATATTTATACCTCTTTGATCCAGTTTTTTGCAATAAGGTTGCAGTGAGCAGTGATGTATTGCTTTTTGTGCCATCCAACGATTTCAGGGCAGTATCAGGTCACACACTTACAATTTAAGCACCATCAGATATTATTCTGAGTTGTGCTCTTATTCTGTATGTGTGATTCTCCATTTCCTGAGAAAGTGGCTTAGCAGTCTGAAGTCTTGAGTGTCATTGATACAGATAATTGGATTTCAAGATCCGGAACTTCAGCGCGAGATATTTAATGAATTTACATGCAGAAGAAGAAATGCTGCTTTTGAGGAAACTCCCCAGGTTCCAGTTCTCTCTCAGGCCCAGCTTTGTCTATTAGTTATCCATTCTGATGAATTCAGCAAGCAGCCCATTTCAGAGAAACAGCCCTTTCTGATAAACAATGCCAACCCTTATTCATTTGCAAATCACACTCCTCCATGTCACAAAGAATGGCACCCTTTTACTTTCTCTGCTCTTTTTGCTCTGGATTCACTTGAGCACCAAAGCAATCAGCACAATAGAATATCTTACATTTAGGCAGAAAGCACCTTGGGTTTCAAGCTCCAAAGCAGGGTTTCATGGGTGATTGTGGTGGATGAAAAAACCACTCCATTTCCCACTGACCTGGTCCTTTGCTGGGACTCCTTCCTCAGTTCACCTCTGCAAGAGCTCTGCCTTTGGTTCCCCCAATTTTTGTCCCTTGCCTTTCTGTAGCCCATCTGACTTTGGTCTCCTGGTTCTCTGTGGACTTAATTTCAAAAGCCCCATTTCTAGAATTCTTTAAGACTCAGCTACAGTTGTTGGCCATACTTTTTTTTTTTCTTTTTTCTGCTAAAAACACGTTGAGCAGCAGCATTTGCTTTAGACAGCAAGTGCATCCCTGCTAAGTAATTAAACCTTGCCACATCAGTGACCTTATGTCTTATGAGTCATTTTAGGTCACACTCAAGGACTGAAATTGTTGCCTAAAGCAGGTAAAGTTCTGTTTAAAACCACTTTATTTTTAAGGCAAGCCAGGACGTTATACCTGATGTTGACCCCTGGGGAAATAAAAGCAATTGATGTCTGCTGGCCAAGGTCTGTTATTCTGTAACTCAG